TTAGCGTAATGACTATGTTGCTGAACTCCCATGTAGTCAACCACGGTTCACGTCCTGGATCCGGTGGCTTAACCTCACGCTGGGCGCGTGTGCGTGCGTGCCCAAGATCCTGAGAGGAGAATGGAGGAGAAGGGACTGTGGTGTGGCCATCCCCCCTGGGGGGTGATTTCTCGCTTTCTATCTCTCTGTCTGTCTCTGTCTTTCTGGCGAGCACACGTGCCCTATAGCAAAAGCTTCTGAAAAAAAAAAAAAAAGAATATTTGGGATCAGCAGTTAGCGTAATGGCTATGTCACTGGACTCCCATGTAGTAGATCGCAGTTTGAATCCCAGACCCGGTAGCTTAAAACTCACACCAGGTGCGTGTGCGTGCATGCCCAAGATCCTGAGAGGAGAATGGAGGAGAAGGGATTGCGGCATGGCCATCCCCCGGGGGAGCGATTTCGCGATTTCTCGCTTTCTGTCTCTGTCTCTCTCTGACTGTCTGGCAAGCGCATGCGTCCTATGACAAAAACCTCTCCCCCAAAAAAGAAAGAATATTTGCTTAAGAATCTTCTGTACCAGAGACTGTAAGAATCATCTTCCAGAATGCTACCTTCAACATTTCCATGACAAGAAGGAAAAAAAAATTGAAATATGCATGTTTTACTCATTTAAATTCATCAGAAAACTCAAGCTAGAAATGACTATAACAGTACATCTAGAAATCTGGAAGAAGGCAGGGACTTTCTTATCTCTGTCTTACCAATTCCTAGACGTATAAGAACAAAATACATAACATAACCTTGGGCCTGTTATGGCAAATTTCTAGTAGGCATACATGTGTGTGTATTCTCAATACATACTGCCAAAGAGAAGTACTAAGAACAATATTTTTTTAAAAGGTTTTTGCCATAAGGTGTGGTACTCACCAGAGAGACACACAGACAGTGAAAGGGAAAGTGAGAAATCACCCCCTGGGGAGATGGCCACGTCACAATCCCTTCTCCTTTATCTTCCTCCTGGGATATTGGGCACACACGCACACACCCGGTGTGGTTTTGAAACCACCAGGTCTAGGACTTGAACTATGGGCAGCCATGTGGGAGCCCAGTGATGTAACCACTATGCCATCTGCTGGCCCCAAGAACAGTATTTTTAATATCCTAGAATTATGTAAAATTTAGACCACAACAATAGCATGAAAATGATCCCTAGAGATTATGGATAACATTGAAATGATTTTTGCTTAGTTAACAGAATTTTAAAATTCTTAAGTTATACACATAGTTACATTTGTAAATTGATCGACTTAGTAAAGGACAATGACTAAATGATTGAAATGAGATAGAAATGCCTATCTTTTACTAGAGTTAACCTGTATTACCCATAATCCTCACTCTCCAATAATACTTTAGAGTCAACAGTAACTCCAGCAAAAAAAAAAAAAAAAATCTATCCTTGATGTTAGAAGGTGGTGTGGTGGTTAAGGGCGCTGGACTCCCACACGACTGACACAGTTCAAGTCCCAGACCTGGAGGCTCGCTTTCTCTCTCTTTCACTGTCCCTCTCTGGTCAAATTAAAATAAATAAATAAATAAAAGTTAAATAAAGTAATTATTGAAAAAAATAAAAAGAAAGAGGAGATTGGCATCTCTCTTAAAAAATAAAAAAAAATAGCGGGAACCAGCAGTTAGCGTAATGGCTATGTCGCTGGACTCCCACGTAGTTGACCGCAGTTCGCATCCTGGACCAGGTGGCTTAAAACTCACGCAGGGCGCGTGTGCGTGCGTGCCCAAGATCCCGAGAGGAGAATGGAGGAGAAGGGATTGCGGCATGACCATGCCCCCTGGGGAGTGATTTCTTGCTTTCTGTCTCTCTGTCTCTCTCTGTCTGTCTGGCGAGTGCATGCACCCTATAGTGAAAACCTTTCCAAAAAAAAATATATACATATAGCTATCCTTATCCCTTGAATTCAAGATTGTGTTAAATACAATAAAAACTATTTGCATTTCCTTTCATAGGTTAAGTTAGAATTGACTGGGTCCTCAGAAAAGTCCTGATGCATTTTTGCATTAAAAAAAAAACAGGCATGGGAACCAGCAGTTAGCGTAGTGGCTATGTCGCTGGACTCCCACGTAGTCGACCGCGGTTCGCGTCTCGGACCCGGTGGCTTAGATCTCACGCCGGGCGCGTGTGCGTGCGTGCCCAAGATCCCGAGAGGAGAATGGAGGAGAAGGGATTGCGGCGTGACCATCCCCCCTGGGGGGTGATTTCTCACTTTCTGTCTCTATGTCTCTCTCTGTCTGTCTGGCGAGCGCACGCGCCCTATGGCGAAAAAACCTCTCCAAAAAAAAAAAACAGGCACATATGTCATGACTTTTCCAATGAACCAAGATTTACCTGATGGTTTAAATGCCTTGTAAACCTACATAAAAAGGCAAGTTCATGAAACATCCAGCTCTCTAATTTTTTGACTTTTTCATTTTAGAGAAAAGCAGCTAACTACAGGTACTCATTGTGTTTCATTTTTCTTTTCTGAAAGCATGGCATCATTAAGCTTTAGAAGACCTTTCTCCTACTTACGGGAGCCCTGCTCTGTCATAACAAGGTGTAGAACTGGACCAGAGCCATGGCCCAATTATGAGCCATTACACCTGAGCAGCTCTGCGAGTCTGAGGTCTAGACAGGATGCCCTTTCATGCCTGTTAACTCACTCAAAACATCCCACGGTTCTCATCTACAGCATTTCACTATTTTTCCTCTAGGCTTCACACAATGCTTTTTCTTTGAACTTTTCTTTATTTTTACATTCTTCTAGTTTCTTCAAAAGTTCGGAGCACAACTTCTAAAGGCTACCTGGTAAATGAAATCATATTAAATATTCTGGATATTTCTGATAATTAAATAATACAGAAAAGAACATCAGTGAGACCCCATTTACACCATAGTAAATGAGCAAGAATTCAGGGGAGCTGATGAAATGGAGTGGCATGTGACTACTTAATCCCCAAGCTTTCAGAATCCAGAGGGAAAAGGTGAACCAGCAATACCTAAGGACAGTGTGGGAGGCAACTGAGTTTTAATGAACTGAAAGAGGCCTTAAGTGGGCTGCTGCTCAACAGTCTTGTTTATTTATTTATTTATTTTTTTGTCTTAACGATTTTGGCTTTTATTTTATCTTATTATTTATTTATTTTTTTTAATTTACTCACCATACATCTTTATGGTATACAAAATGAATTTTGCCACCTTGAATACACTGAATATCGGTCCAGTCAAAGACAATATCATACACATTATCATCAGCAGACAATATTCAGTCTTAATGAGCTGTCCAGCAATGATATTTGTTATTTTAGCACCAGCACCGCAGGAGAGTAATCTCCAGAGAGCTCTATAGGCCAGATAAACCACAGTGTTTCTCGTCTGGTTAACTTTAAGGAATTCAGTTTTGCAGGAGGCACTGAGATAGCCAGGTATTTCACCTAGAAATTCCTGCCACTCAAAAATCTACAAGAAGGCGGCAGAATATGGTCACCTAACGGCTTCCTGCGATGATAGAAACGTTCTGTACCTGTGCTGTCCGACAGGGTAGCCCTGGCCACATGTGGCTATTGAGCATTTGCAATCAGGCTAAGTGTGACGGAGAAACTGCAGTTGTAATGTTAATTGTCACTAATTTAAATTTGAGCAGATATCTGTGACTAGTGACTACCATATTGGACTTTGCAGTTCTAGATTAAACATACACACACACACAATTTAATTCATTAAATTTATGAATTTCATTCATAAATTCACATCCCCACACACCTAAAGCCTGAGGAGAATTTTTATGTAGCCACATTATCCGAGTGATGTCTGGACAGTGATTCCATCAATGCCCACAGATTTCTCACTTACTACAGATCAGCCTTCTAGTTATGTGATTCTCTAGGCCCCTCCTTCTAACTGACCTTCACTCTTTCTCCTCCCAGCATATCGAGACACTAACACCAGCTCCAGCTCTGCCGTCATAAACCATTTGCACAAGTAATCAAAATGGCTGTGTGTCTTTGTTTCTTTTCTAAGAACACTATACTAAGTTTATATTTTATGTATTAATATATTTACATATATAACATTCCTATATGCTGTTTAGAAGTGTTCATCATTATGTCTCAAAGTAACATGTTTCTTGATTCATTTACAAAGGTTTAGGCGCTGGTTTCCAGGATTGAATTTCTTCTGTATTGTATTAAGATTTCTTCTACTCAAACATTTTCCTGTTTCACATATCATATGGTTTATTCTTTCTGCTTTATACTAATCTGTGATATTTGTTTTTAATATATTCACAAATTTAGACAAATTTGATGTCAATTCTGTTCAGTTTTAATTTATTTATTCTGTTACTACACCACCAACATGAATAATGCATCTAAACATTATTTTTACAGTTGATGGGGATAGAAAAATTAGTGAGGACTTATACATTTATTTGTACTTATTTTTCCTTATAAACACCATCTGCTCTATATTATTCTTAAGTATGTAAAACACAAGCATATTCTGAAACATAAATTCACACATTTTTTAGTCTTTCACAGAAATATCTTATATCCAACTGAGTAAAAAAGAGAAAAAGAAATAGGGGCAAGATGCAAACAAGGGAGGGATTGACAAGAATCCTTTGGAATTTCTCTTTTAAAAAAAGCAAGATTTGTCAGTGGTGTGCAGATAATTCAGGACTGGGGTGGAACATAGGGTAGGGAGGTGTGTCTGAGAGAATCAAGACCTGTTAGCAAAGTTGCTAGAGAATAGAAACTCTAGGACAGGACACTTGAGTCCAGGAAAGCTCCAGAAGACTGGAGGTGGGCAGATAGCAGGAAATACCGAGGGACGCATTAACAGCAGAGATAAGGGAATGTGATGGAGGTAGGGGCTTCAAGAGATTCAACTGTAAAGCTATTTGTAACTGCTAATCCACATGATGTTTTCATTCATCCTTAAAATAATATAAACAAGAAAAAAATTTTACCTGTGATGTCCTGAATAACGTGGACCACGGATATGGCCTATTCCTCGGCACCCTGGAGTAGGACAAACAGCTTGACCTGGAAGGACTTTCACATCATTTGCTCCTTCAGGAAGTAAAAGAACATACCTTAAAAAACACTCTCATTAAAGAAGAACTGGAAAGACTAAAATGTGTAAAAGAAGTTTCTTGAGAATTTTATAAATTGAAAACTAACTAAAAAACACTTATTGAGTACTCATGATGTTTTATAAAGTGATTTAACAAAAAATAACAGTGCTATAAAAATAAACACTAACAGCACAACTAAAATAGAGGAAAGAAAATGAATAGGCATTGAAGAAATTTTTTTAAAAAGGCAGCCATGAACACATCCACTAATTTCTTTCAGAGATTACCTGTGACAAAGGCAACATGACCATGAGCTAAGAACGAGTACATAAAACCTCTACTCAATTGAGTTAACAAACAGGGCATGCAGAAGACAGCAAAGACGACCCTACACATACTTATTCAAGTAGGTGTCAAGATAGGGAAAAGAACTCATATTATACTGTTCTATGCTATACTATACCATACGATACTGTACTATTTGTATCATCATAATAATGCACCATACTGTATGCACTTACAAGGTCATACTGTACCATGCTGTACTGTACCATACTGTATTATACTCTTCAGTGCTATATTGTAATATACTCTATTATAACCACACCATACCACACTATACGGCACTATTCTCTACCATGCTGTTCTGTAACATGTTAGACTGTACTGCACCGTGTACTATGCCACGGCGCACTGTGCCGCGCTACACTGTACTATATACTATGCCACGGCGCACTGTGCCGCGCTACACTGTACTATATACTATGCCACGGCGCACTGTGCCGTGCTACTGTACTGTATACTATGCCACGGCGCACTGTGCCGTGCTACATTGTACTGTATACTATGCCACGGCGCACTGTGCCGCGCTACACTGTACTATATACTATGGCACGGCGCACTGTGCCGTGCTACTGTGCTGTATAATCAGTACTATGCCACAGGGCACTGTGCCGTGCTACACTGTACTGTATACTATGCCACGGCACACTGTGCCGCGCTACACTGTACTATATACTATGCCACGGCACACTGTGCCAAGCTACACTGTACTATATACTATGCCACGGCACACTGTGCCAAGCTACACTGTACTATATACTATGCCACGGCACACTGTGCCGCGCTACACTGTACTATATACTATGCCACGGCGCACTGTGCCGCGATACTGTACTGTATACTATGCCACGGCGCACTGTGCCATGCTACACTGTACTATATACTATGCCATGGGGCACCGTGCCGCGCTACACTGTACTGTATACTATGCCACGGCGCACTGTGCCATGCTACACTGTACTATATACTATGCCACGGGGCACCGTGCCACGCTACACTGTACTGTATACTATGCCACAGCGCACTGTGCCGCGCTACACTGTACTATATACTATGCCACAGCACACTGTGCCATGCTACACTGTACTACTATATACTATGCCATGCTATACTGTATTATGCTATACCACGCTATACTGTACTACACTATATCATGCTATATTGTATTATACTATACCATGCTATACTGTACTATACTATGCCATGCTATACTGTAATATACTATGCCATGTTGGACTATACCATGCTATACTTACTATACTATACCGTGCTGGACTATACCATGCTATATTGCATTACACTATACCGTGCTATATATTATGCTATAGCATGTTGGCCTATACACTATGCTATACTGTATTAGACTATACCATGCTGGACTATACTGTGCTATACTGTATTAGACTATACCATGCTGGACTATACTGTGCTATACTACATTACACTATACCATGCTGGACTATACCATGCTATACTGCATTACACTATACCGTGCTGGACTATACCACGCTACACTGTATTACACTATAGCATGCTGAACTATACCACGCTACACTGTATTACACTATAGCATGCTGAACTATACTATGATATACTGTATACACTATACCATGCTGACTATACTGAGCTATACTGTACTACACTCACTATACCATGCTGTACCGTACCATAATACATCATATCCTACTAAACCATACCACACTATTCTGCAGTATTTATTATACCATACTGTGCTATATTGTACTAGATCATACTATACTATATTACTCTGTATAATTCCATGCTACATACAATACTACTATATTGCATTATACTGTCCTATGCAGTACTGTACCATAGCATACTATTCTGTGCTATACCATACTATTTTGTACATATTAGATCCTGAAAGTTCCATTCCATACCATCATACTCTTCTGGGCCCTACTTCCCTGATACTCCAGGCTCCTCTTCCCTTTTCACTCTTAGACTTCCATTTCCTGTTTAACAAACTCCCTATTTCCTTATTCTTTTTTTTTTTGGAGAGATTTTCACTGTAGGGCGTGTGCGCTCGCCAGACAGACAGAGAGAGACATAGAGACAGAAAGCGAGAAATCACCCCCCAGGGGGGATGGTCACGCCACAATCCCTTCTCCTCCATTCTCCTCTTGGGATCTTGGGCACGTACGCACACGCGCCCGGCGTGAGTTTTAAGCCACCGGGTCCGGGACACGAACCACGGTCGACTACGTGGGAGTCCAGCGACATAGCCATTACGCTAACTGCTGGTTCCCCCATTTCCTTATTCTTAACTTAATATTTCTAGTTTCATCTGGAAGTTTGTTGAAGATGTGGCTTCCCTCTTCAGGAGAATCTTAATTTCCTTACACATACATGCCTCAGGATTAACAAAGAGCAAATGCCCTCTTTTCCTACCAGCGCCTCCTCTACACCACACATGTAAGACTCCTGTTCTTCCAAAGCTGCTATGGGCTCTCTGCCACCTGCCTTCTCATTGCTCTCACCCATCTGCCTGCTGTCTCCCATATCATTCAGGTAATGCTTTATCCCAGTCACAGCCATTGCTGTGCAAACTCAATACCCACATGGCCATCCTGTCCAGCAGGCCACCTTAGTGGATTATTAGCTTCCTTATCTTCAGTGTTCTTTTCCCCAAATTCATCTGGCTTTCTCTCTCTTCCTCTCACCCGCCCCCCACAATCCTGTTGATCATCCAAAATGGCCCTGCTTCTATCAATAAAACTGGGAGCCAAGATCCCATCTGATACAAAACCATGTCCTTTTCAGATTGCTTGCTTAGATGCTCCAAATGCTGATGATGCTTTCAGCACTAATGGAACTTTCAGGTTACTCACTTCCCTTCTTTTATCATCAGTTCCTTCTCATTATAACCTCCTTTTCTTGTCTAACTTAGATTCCATCAAGCGTTGTCAAGGTCACACCACCTGAGCAGAACTGGTCTTGGAAGCTAAGTAGGATTGGGCCAGGTTAGTATTATATGAGAGATTCTATCAACATTGTTCGATTCTCTATTATAAGTAACTTAAGCTCCTTTGTCTCTCTGACTTTATTTCACACTTGGTTGTGGAAAAATATGCAATGGCTCATGGAACTATCCTGCTGCTCTATATTTTACATAACTAAGTTTACCTGAGGAAAAAAATGCACATAGTGAAGACGAACTTACCAAAACACCACTATCTCAAATCTTCCAATTAGCTTCATCCTTTGGCTTTCAGCGCTGAGCTTTCCTGCTAGTAACTGAGAAAACAGGAGCCAGTAGATAGGAACTCCATCCCTGCCCAGCTGTGCGCTATTATTTCTCTCCTCCAGTCCTTTACAATGAGGGAACATTCTTGCCTCTCCAAAGCAAATCCTTTATCATTTATGTTGGGCTATCATCCACCTCTTTTCTCCAGGATCTTTGGGGTATCATATATTTCAGTCACTCCCTGATTATTGGCCATCATTTAAACATATTCTACTTTCTCTCATTGTAAAAAGACACAAATGCGAAACAAGACAGAAAACAATCCTAAAACAACTTGGATCTCACATCGCCCTTTAGCTGGTCACTCTTCTCCCCTTCATAACCAGACTTCTCCTCACATCTTACTTCCCAAACCACATTAATCTACCTACCGAGGTTATTAATGACCGTGTTGCACTGAGCCTCTGTGTACTGCTGAATATGCACCAAGATCAATGTCTTGGCATTTTAATCCCAATTGGCTTTCTCCTTGTTGAATTGCTGCTGTATATTGGCTTTAGTGACCTCATACTGTGGTAGTTTCCCTTCTGCAAATTAACATTCTCTGGTAAGCTCCATGGCCAGCTCTTCCTCCCATAGCCAACTTTGGAATGCTAGAGAACACCCTCAAGGTTTGTTCCAGGGGCATCCATTTCTACAACTTTATTTATTAACTGCAGCTACAGATGCTCACAGACTATAATTAACACATTCTTTAAGTTCCAGATCAATATATCCAACTTGTCATTCAACATCTCCACTATAACTCTTCAAGTCACTTCAAACTCAATGTGCTCAAAATGTGATCATCCTGTCCTCCTAAACTTCTTTTTCCCTGGAGCCATTCATCTCAATAATGCACCACACTCCATGCCAGAAACCTGCATCCTTGACACTCCAGCTCCCTCATTTTACTGTACCCCAACTATCAATCGATCCTTAAATTCTTAAATTTCTTTAATCTGCAAATATTTCTTTATCTTTACAGTGACTAGTCTAATCCACTTCATTATCATCCAATAGTTGGAGAATTTCAGTATAATTCTTTACCCATCCTGATTTATTCTCCATCTTGTAACCAGAGCACTATTTTCAAAACACAAATCTCATAATACAACCCCTTCCCTTTTAGGACCTTTAAGTGACCTCTCATTGCTGTTAAGACTAAGACCCAAATCCTTAACTTGGCTTACTTGATCTGGCTCTCGTCTATCTCTTCAGAGATACTTTAACTTGATTTTTCTTCTTATTTAATACTCTGCATCCATACTGACCTTTTCCTATTCCTTGAATCTGCCAGATTCTTTCTCAGATCCAGGCACTGAATGTTGGAATGAGCGTCCCATTATTACTGGGATAACTTCTATTATCTTTCAGGTCACAACTTATATTTCACTTCCTTA